GTTGGTGTTGGTGTTGGTGTTGGAGTTGGAGTTGGTGTTGGTGTTGGAGTTGGTGTTGTGTTGGAGTTGGTGTTGGTGTTAGGTGCTATGAGTCGGTTCCAACTCCTAGCAACACTGCACAACAGAACAAAACAGTGACTGGCCCTGTGCCTTCCTCACGGTCATGTTCAGGTTTGAGTCCATTGTGGGCAGCCACTGTGTCCACCAGAATAGCCTCGAGGACAGTGGGCTTGAGCTTTGTTTTGTCTTGGCTAGTTCCCAGCACCCTGCCTGGAAAGGGTGCCGTTGAGAGCAGCTGAGATGACAGGCCCACCCACCACTCTCCACCTCCATCTCTCAGCCCTGAAGTCTGAAGCAGAGGCCTTGAGCAACTGACCAAGGAGGCACTGGGGCAATGCAAGGGGCACGCAGTGTGTACACCGTGCACAAGAGGAGCAGAAGTTCAGAGCCTTGTATAGCAACTCTGCAGCAGGAAGTGGAGAAAGGGCCACTCTTCCTGCTAGGCTAGCAACCCCAGCCCCCACCCCACTCCCGGCTTGAATCTCAGAGCCTCATTCACGGCAGATAAGTCTGTTTTGAGGGCTCTCATGTATTTAATGTGTAGCTAGCTAGCTAGATGAATGGGGCTTCAAACACTTTGTAGAAACATTGCATTAAAAAGTGCTTCTTATTGTGAATTGGGGTCATGTTTACAGAGCAGACCATCAGTCTTACCTAGGACCATTCACACACCCTTGGTTTCATCTCATCCATTGCAGGAACCTATTGTAACATCACTTACCCCACTTCCACCCTCCGTTTCCTGTTTCCACTTATCTTTCACTCCTAACCTTTCTGAATTGTGTTCTTGGGCAAATGCTGCCCTTGTGATCTCCAATGATTGATTATACTAACGTATGCCACACCCCACTATTTTTATTATTCCCCTTATAGACAGACTGGCGTATTAGTATGCTTGAAATTCTCACGGATTTTGTCTTGCTCAGATCCACAGTCAATACTCATGGAAGCAGCAGTCAAGAGATCAAAAGGCACATTGCATTGGGTAAATCTGTTGTATAGACCTCTTTAGAGTATTGAAAAGCAAGGACGTTACTCTGAGGACTAAGGTGCACCTGACCCATGCCATGGTGTTTTCAATGGTTTCAT